TCTCGCACACCGCCATCACAGCCCCACCTTTGACCAATAGCCTCCCTGGTAATTAATGAGAATCTTTAGCAATTATCTCGGGCTTGGCATGCAAACGAACATCAATTATACCTCCCGCCGCTGAAGCGAGGTAGAGAACTGTACCATTGCCATTGGGAAAGCGCAACAGGAGTTAAGTGCCTTGCCCAAGGCTGGAGGGGGGAGGCAGTGTCATAGCACAGCTGGCTGCGGACACCCAGGCGGGTAGCAGGGCGAGCTCTGCTAGTCAACAAAACTGAGTCTTACCAGGGGGGTTCATGCTGACGGTGGTGCTGCAGTATTTGGCATCGTCCGGGCAGTCGTCAGGCACCATGCACAAGTCATTGCTGGTCTGCGCGTTGCACATATAACATATCAGCGCATGAGCTGAGGAAGGACACGTCATTCAAGTCACAACCATGGGAGATAAAACAAGCATCCGCTTCCCCTAGCCTACTCCCAGCCCCCTTAGCTTCTGCCCTACGTCTCAAAGCACTTCCTGCGGTCTATTGTCTTGCCCTAGAAAACGCAGCCTGTAGGGTTTGCTCGAGCAGATCCATCGTTTCAGCTCCCTCACCTCCAAGAGCAACTGGGGCTAATGCTTCCTTGCAGGAAAACCCTCCTGCACAGATGGGACCGAGGCAGATGTGCTGTTCCAGATGTAAAGCACTGGCTTTCATCAGGCCTTAGCGAGGGCACATGTTTCTCTGCAGCTGTGAGGAGCAATAAGGGGCTCTGTTATAACAACATGAGAACTGCATTTTCTGGGTCAGACCATAGATCCATCTTGTGTCACACAGGGGCAGCGAGCGAATGCTAAAAGGGAGAGTTACCAAGGTCTGACCAGGTTTTTCCCCATGCTGTTCCTCTCTCGCTTGCAGCCTCCAGCATTTAAGGTCGAGGAAGTGCTAATTCAAAGGCCGTGCCCCTCAGTCCCATGCTCAATAAGTCCTGATGCCCCTTTCCTCCAAGAACACATCCAGTCCTTTTTTGGATCTGGCTAAACCACCAACTTCCACCACATCTGGTGGTCACGAGCTCCACACTTTAATTACCTTCAGTGTAAATAAGAACATCTTTGGTGCTCATTTACAGGTTTAACTGACTCCTAGTTTCATGCTGTGACCCCTACTTCTTGTCTGATGAGAGACAGTCAATAATAAATCCTTCCTGACTTCCTCTTCCCCATTTCTGGAGGGTGTTGGTGGTAGCCATGTTGGTCTAAAGACATAGGCCAGATTCTTTGGGTAGATGTGATATCTTTTATTAGACCAACTAAATAGTTGGAAAAACTGTTCTTTGCAAGTTTTCGTGTACAAACACCCTTCTTCATGTGCAAAGACTCTCCCTCTACCTGAAGAAGGGCGTTTGTGCTCAAAAACTTGCAAAGAACAATTTTTCCATCTATTTGGTTGCTCTAATAAAAGATATCACATTCGCCCAAAGAGCCTCGTCTGCTTCTTCACCACTTAGTATTTTGTACAGCTTTATATTCCCCACCTCAAGTATCTCTTTTATAAAATGACTAAGTCTGGCCTCTTTAGTCTCTCCTCCCAGGGAAGCCCCTCCATACTGAATAGGACATCCCTTACTCAGACCCCCACAGGAATAAATCCGAGAGACATCCTGGAGGGGAGCTGAGTTTTCCCCATCCTCTTCCCAGTGCCTTTTCATAGGTCCGAAATAGTGGGCACGGCAAAATGCAACCGACCCAGCCCCGCTCATCACTTCTGCATGAGCTCTAGCATGGCCCGACACGAACCCCGGGAGCCTCACCTTGTTCTGCGTACAGGACTGTAGCCAGGAGCACCGTCAGGAAAGACTTCATCTCAGCTGGTGTTTCTCAGCCGATGCAGCAGGGAGGGTTTATATACCTCCTCGGGGCTGGGATAGCTGCAGAAGAAAGACTTGGAAAGGCCGGTTCCTGATGTGGGCCGGGCCATGAATAATGCTATGTTTTAGCTCGGAAAGTACCTGTGCAACAGGGCTTCGGTACCAATTGTTGGCCACAAACCGCTCGTGGGAGCTGAGCGCTGGCTCCCCTCCAAGGATCTCGCTCGCTGCCTCCGCCCAAACTTGCATTGGCCTCTGGTTGTTGGAGGCTGGAAGCAGCTGGGAGAGGTTAAGCAATGAAGTTATGCGGCTGCACTGGCTGGGGTGGGGTGCAGGGCATCACTTTGGATGTGGTTATAGATGAATCCTTGGTAGGACTCTGGGTGCTCCTTGTCTGTGAGACCTGAGCAGCTGATTAGGGACAGTGCCAGGCGCTGGATAAGCACTAAACAGAGACATCCCCTGCCCCGAAGAGCTTGCAATCTGGCAGCGCATGGAGGCAGATAGGACAAGGAGCTAAGCTTGGAGCTATGATGGGCCTCAAGGCATCAGCAGCTTGACTGTCACCAGCTTCTGAATTATGTGCCAGCTCACAGGACAGCTTTAAAGATGGCTTTGAGGGACAGCCTTGAGGATGCTTCCAGGAAGGGGCTTGTTGGACAATCTCAGAAGTGGCCGATGAGATTGTCATGCTGCCAAAAACAGGCACGGTTGTGAGAGCCACTGGAACATGCTGTCCACCATGCTGGCATCCACAGTCTCTGAGCTGGGCTTGTGAGCTCCAGGTACAGCTGAAGACAGGCAGCCAGCGAGGGGCATCCGTGCGCCAACTCTGACTGTGTCCTGGAGTCATGGAAATACGGCTGAACCCATGCCTGAACTTCCACATCTGTCAGCCCATGCTGCAGGGGGTGGCTCCAGGGGTTTTCATAGATTTCATAGACATTCGGGCTGGAAGGGACCTTGGAAAATCGTCGAGTCCAGCCCCCCGCCCAAAGGGCAGGAAGTCACCTGGGGTCATAGGATCCCAGCAAGATAAGCGTCCAATTTGCTT